ATTTTTAATGAGACGGAGCTCTCGGGTCAGTCGCAGTCGAAGTTTGCGAAACTGACCCTTCTTCGCCAAGTCACTGGGGTCTGCCACAGGTGCAGCAAATGCTGCATTCTTCTCCGACACCAATGCGCCAATCGTCTCATTGTTCTCATCAAACCAATCAGGCCGCTTACAGTTTGCGCGCATGACGGTCTCCTCAGCAGCAGCTGTCACCCAATCGAGAACATGGTGCCACAGGTCGACTACTGTGGCCATGCATTCCACATCACACAGGCGTTCAGCCATCGCCTTCTCCAGATCGATACGTTTCGCCACAGTACCGAGGGAGAGAATGTTACATTTACCCCGGTTCACGGCGGGGGTGCAATACATTGATTTACGAAAATATACGTACAGGTTGGTCCGCACCAATTTGTGATCAGTGCCACACTCAGCTTCACGAAGTACACGGGTTATACGCACTTCACGCATATCGCTCTGACGTACAATGACATAGTCGAGCAGGTGAGCGTGACCACTCCGTGGGTGCGTCCAGGTTGCTATATCACTCGCACTCAGTGCAAACCGAGTGTTTGTGATCGTCAGGCCGTGAGTGGCACACAGTGAGAGCAGCCTGTCACCGTTCGCATTCGCTGAACCAATGCCATGCAGACCGATAACATCTGTCCACACAGATGCATCACGCCCAACGCGCGTGTTGAAATCACCCAGCAGAAATAGTTGGTCGCTCTTCCGCACAGACCGTATCACGCAGGATAGCTGAGTGTAGGATTGATCACGCGTGTCATCAGGATAACACGTGGTCAGTCATCATCAGTCGCGCACTGATGCTTGCTGGTTCACCCAAGAGCTGGCCATAAAGGCAATCGGATATTGCAAATCCGACCCCATGATCGCGTGGTGCTGAGGCGGCGCTGCCCACTCAGCAGAACATATAGCCAGCAACTGCATCATACAAATTAGCCCGCTCAGCGAGCCGGGTCTCACTGAGTGCCGCAATATCGATGTTGTAGCGCGCCAATCCCATCGCGACCAGAGCAGTGCGTCGCTCGGGGGGTTTCACTCAAATCCCGGTCCATTAGTGTGCGCACGTTCCAGCACCCGATGTTGGGTGTCTTGCGCGCAGATATACGATTGCATTGGTGGGCAATCGCACCCGAGGTGACGGTTGTGCTTCGGAGGTTTGCTTGAGGGACTCACCTCGGAGCCCTTGGCTCAACAGCCTGATCCACAAGGCAGTGGAGAGCAGATCCAGCTCGGGAATGTGATTGAAGAGGCAGATTGGGATCTGCCTGGCGGCCGTCACACGCAGCCTTGGAGGTACTGGAATGATTCATATATGTTTTGCAACCGTAGTAGGATACGCACCTGCGACCACGGCCAGACGCTGGAGGATTTTGGTGGATTTGCACCAATTTGACCATGGGTTGCCTGTATTGAGGCGGGCAGTAGCAAACCATTGAGCACCTGGTGGTGCCCTCCTACCGTCAGACACAATGCGTGGCACTCGTGCTCTACGCCAATCGAGCTGTGAACTTATAACCCGTAAACCTGTTGTCTCCCATGGCAAGGTTTTACGGGAGGGGTCCATCGACCACTTCCTAACCTCCGAAGAGGATGGACTAGGATACTGCCAGGGCGCCCACACCTGACAGGAGACGACTCGGGTCCTCAGCCAAAGCCTTCGATTAAATGAACACCCGAAAGGCAGCAGGTATAGCACATGGTCAGTTCACTAAGTCATGCGGATTGGAGTCCTGGATCTTAGCAGGGAGAAGGGCGAAACCCAAATCCCACCCAGCGGTCACCACGAGGAGGCGCCCAGTACATGAGCAAATGGCACAACAGTAGCAGCAGTGGGTAGATTACCTGTCAGGATCTAGCCACCAACATCCTCAGCGCACCATAGGCTCTCTCGCCGCGGCACATATACAAGCTCAAGTAAAACAGCTAAAAACATGGTTGGCGGCATCCGGTTTCGGATTTGCCTGTCACTGTGGCAAGCCACAGGACGCCTGCGCCTACAGAGGGACCATGGATGGCTTGCGCTGCACCACCCACAGCTCCAACCACATACCCCATTTCCAGTGTAAACCCGAAGGAATAAGACCGGGAGGCATGCGGATGGGAACCACGTTTCATCAACGGAGCCGGCCCACACTCCTTCACAGGCAAACACAGGCACGCTGTATTTGGGGAATCAAGCGCACACAAGGCGGTGGCTGGACCGTAGTCCGCTCCACACTGAGTGCATGGAACCGCTCTTTGAGCCTAGCACGGCCACAAGAACCGTGCACCACGTCCCCTCCAGCAACGACCAACTGTCTCCTGGAGCCAGTATGAACGATGTAGTGGGTAATAGACAGGTAGGCACCTTGTCAACATACACATCAAGCGCAACCACACCGGGGATATCAAACAACATCCATTCACTTTAAACGACAAGTTGAAATAAAATAAATCCAATAATGCATACAGCTACGGTGGCATAATTCTTCGCTAAATTACCATATGAAGTAAGTTGGTTAGCAACAAATCCGTGATAAGTAAGAAATGTCCACAAGTTACTTAAAAATGCTACAAACGCAACAAAATTACCGAAGATAAGCGCAATTAGTGTAAGCAACGTGGCCAGTTAATAGAACATTATTCAGGGAGGCAGAACAAACCAAATAAAGCGGAATGAAATTTATCCAGCTTAAAAAGACCCAGTATGGACGAGTATGGACGAGGTAGTGGGTAATAGACAGGTAGGCACCTTGTCAACATGCACATCAAGCGCAGCCACACCGGGGATATCAAACAACAGCCAAACACTTGAGAGAAAGAGAAAGAAAAAGAGAAAGAGAAAAACTCGATTAATGCATAAGGAAACGGTGACATAAACCTTAATTAAATACCATACGTAATAAGTTGTTTACAAACAAATCCTAGCTAAGTGCACGAGGTCAGGAAGTATAGTTCACGGAATGCCACGAACACAAAAATGTTATGGAAATGGAATACAATTGGCTGAAGCTATGTGTGCAAGTTAATGGAATAGAGTACATGGAGATATTCATTTGAGAAAGGAAAGCATTAGGCACAAACTGTAAACCCACCACCTGAAATAGAGAGACTTAGCATGCAAGCACGCGGTTAGTAAATCGAAATCAGCGTGCCTACAAACGCTGCGCCGGCTCGTCGTAATTCTCTGCAGGACCCGTCGTCGCTTCTGTAGTGGCCCCAAATGGCACAGCGCATGGCCCACTAGACATTTATATGAGAAAGAAAGAAAGCTAAAAACATACACATCTATATTCATACATTCACTGCTATAGCAAACATGTTGTATTGTTGTACATTTCTTGATCACTCGTTGTCCTCTTAGCATGATCATGCCTGTACAGGTATGCCTCGCGTTGTCGAGAATCAACAACTTAATCGTTTAGTTATTCTATAAATAACAAGTGTGTCAAAGTAATCGGAATGGAAAATTAAGAGCTAGATGCAAGAAACCGAATGCAGGAAAGCCACTGACTGCACCATGTCCGATATGGTTTGCAACCATTGACGCCGACCATCCTGAGACCCCATCAATGAAGGCGACACGCAGCGGCCTGACGAAGTCTGAGTCGATTTCGTCATGCTCTTATGTCACGTCATGGACTGACCACCTCCGCGGTTCACCCAATCAGCCGCAGCGCTAATATATAGTGCGGGAAGAAGTAGGTCAACGGGCATACGAAGAACATTACCTAGGCAAAGTGAGTAAATCAAGTTTAGCAAACACCAGTTTAGCTCCAGAGGACTTTCCCTAACTACCAGCAGGCAGACCTGAGTATTGATCATTGTGTGCTTTTAACAAATTTGTGTGATACTCTTCAAACACAAGTGATAAGAAACAGTCAATCTCTCAACGCATCCAACGCGTAGTGGCCAAATAAAGGAAGTAGTTCAGCGTGATCTGAATCGTTAGTACCTTGGTAAACAGAAAATACGAGTCAGACGAACTGTGAAAAAGCTCTCTAGCTGTCCGACGCGACAATGTGAGTTAAAAATTCTCACTTTTTAACGAATCATCATAGGACTTTTGCAACCATAAGGAACAAAACTTGACCGGAGCCATTAAAAGGACATCGGTTACGTAGGGGTTATGTTCAAAAGACCAAAAAAGGACCCAAGTCTTAACACGATCGTTACCATATTACGGTTGAGGTAATGCAACCAGTCTTAGTGTCCCCGTTTTCACGGTTTACGGCAGCTGCAGAGCCCGAAACAGCTTCTTTTTAGAACACAAGGGCGGTTGAAACAACTAAGCGCAGGTCTGTTTCGTTCATCGCAATTGGATCAGAAGCCGCAAATATCAACTACCAACACGGAAAAGCATCAGATGATGGTTTCCCAACCTTATCCACTCCGTCTATTCCCAAGTAAGCAAAAAGTAACCCCTACCAGTCCTCAAAAAACTGTATGATTCACGGCAAGGGAAGTTCCGGCACTTGATGGCCAACCACTGTCTCATACATTGGTGGAAAGTGCATGACAGTGGGGTGGATTGGGCTATATCGCAGTTAAATTTCAATCCATGATGGTCGGTTATCGTACCCCATGGCACAGTGGTATAAGTTGCTGGCTAGTGGTGCAAACCACAGTCTCCACCAAGAACTGAAGTTGGAAAAGCGACACAAGTTCCTTCGACTCAGGGATGATTTGAATGCTATCTAGGCAAGTGAATAAGTGGACCGCTTCCGATGGCACATTGGAGACAGACTTGAAGTAGCCATGTGAACGTGTTGGGAGGCATTTGGATGAAGAACAATATAAAAAAAACTGAGAAAGCATGTTTTATCACATATTCCAACTATAAACAAGTGCAATCTTTTATCCATTGGCGGTCGCATGGACTTCAAACAACTGCAGAAGGAGGAACAATGATACAATAGTTAAATGCCCAGTCCCCATTGTTTCAGGTTAGCATCCGAGTAACGGAAGCTCTAAGCATACGAGGTTGTGTCACATACCTTTTTGGCGTGCTTGAGCTAGACGCGATGATCGTAGCCGAGTCAACGAATCCAGAAGCGAAAGTCGTTCATTTATCCGCAGGGTCAAACAATGAATGGATTGTAGACGCTGTTTGATGTCAATCTGCTCCGAGGGCGAAGGTGCATCAGCCGAGCCGGGAGACAGAGAGTAAAGACATTCATCCTTTCTGCGAAGAGCAAAGTGAACGATCAAGTGGCGACTGGTTGATGAACTGTAGTGAATAACAAACAGACGTGTTTCATCCGATTAAAAACGAGGACAGACATTCAAGTGTAGAAATAGCTCTAGAAAGAATAAATGGACGAGGTAAAATAGAAAACGATGGTAAAAACCCGGGTTGGAAAGAAAACAAACAAAAGGCGGTCAAAAAACCCTGAGTAATCTGTGAGGGTTGGGAGAAGGAATCAAGGAAGCCATGTAGTTAGTGCAATGAGCTAATACACATATCATAAATAGACTAAAGGGTGAGTCGGGCTATATCGCAGTCAATTGTCAGTTACGCAGGTCCGCGGCCGTCACCCATGGTTTAGTGGCACCGCAGAGGCATCCGATGAAGGCGTACCAGTGACGATACCCAGAAGACCGCAACTGCTATCTGGTGCTTTTCAAGACGTGTTGAGGCCTTCTGACAGAGGGGGACTGCGACGAAACACCTCTGAAATCATACCAAAATCTCCACTACTCATTAGTAAGGTTAAAAGGTTACTGCAAGCGCATTTGATTATTGTCGCGCAGTGCAGAACAAAAAGGAGTAAATCAGGGTGGATATCACTCATTTACAAAAGAGAATGTACACACACACATGTATAAATGTTAAGGGAAAGCCAATGGCTCCATGAATCTTGTGAAGGCAAGTTCCTGTCAAGACATTAACGTAAATGTGGAGAGGACTGCGCACTTGTCTGGCAACTGACCAGTCACCGGCTCCAAGTGGGCGTGATTCCCTGACCTCGCTACACTGCCTTGTGGTCAAGTTATTCAGTAAAAGGCTCGGAGTGGCATCCTCTAAGTCCAAACCCAACCTCGGCTTGGGCAACCAGGCAGTATCATTCCCGCTGAGGAAACTGTATACTCCATGGTTTTGATGGCTCTACGTCTATTTGTGTAGCGCGTTGGAACCACGTTACCTCTTGGCTACCATGCACTTGCTACTTACAGTATTCCACATTCGTTGGTGCATTCGAGTGAAGAATTGGGTGTAGTGATCAACAATTATCCCTGGAGCCCAAGTACTTTACAAGGCCGCCTCGCTTTGGAATGCAGTTTAGAAGTTCGGGTTCACGGCCCAACAATTTTCGTTGCAAGTGTCCACACGTTGGCTCATCCGTGTAAACTGAACAAACCCGGTAAGTAACTGACTAGTGAGTTTCATGATGTTGATACTACATATATTTGGGTGTTGCTCTTCCCAACACTGGCACTGTAAATACTACATGTTTTATTCCACATATTAGTCACGAGAGTGTAGCTATATTTCCCGCTGTTCATCTGTCATACTGAACTTAGGTGCGCTTAGGAGAAGGCAGTTATTACCGAGATAAGTGGCGGAAGGGCAAAGGTGTCTAACACAATTGGATTAGAAGTGGCCAACCATCTGGATTGACTTAGACGTAGGTTAGTCCAACTGTGGTGGTACGGCAGTGTTTTAGTACATATTCCATTGAAAAATAAATCCATGCACGGAAGCAATTGATTTGTAGCGTAGAATAGCTGCAACCGAGATGTATGAAGAGAGATGGTTAGTAAATTGTAAGCGGCAAAATTACTATCAGAACCTTAGGCTAGATGTTAAGACCATACGTCAGCTAACCAACTTATCTGCGCTATTTGCTGAGGTTCTTGATATCCATTATTTGTCTACCCCCATGCGATTAATTATGCAATGCTCAAGGTTTTCATTGCAAATCGAACCATGGGTATGGAGATTCGCTGTGGATAATATTATGACATTCATTGTTTTCCTAGCCATGTCTAAATGATTTTATTCCAAATCCCTCTGTTAGACACGACCGTGCCCATACTGTGCAACATGCTTAGGTGTCCGACCACATAAGTGAACAATCCCGATAATTAACTGACTAGCAACTATCATAGTATCGCCAGTTCGTGTTCCGCTCCACAGGTTAGTGATGAAAGTGAGCATAGCTATATTTCCTATTGTTCATCAGTCATACTGAATTTACCACGTGTTATGAAAACACAAGTACCAAGCGGATTGAAGACGGAAGCGCAGACGCTTACCATGGCCAATCTTCTGGATACACTAAGAACTAGGTAATGCTAACAGCAATGGTACGTCAGTATCTTAGTGTATTACATCGGAAATGAATCGCCGCATAGCGACACCTGCTTATTTTAGGAGCACCGAATGGCCGCACCCGAGACGTACGATGAAGATCGATACCAAACAGCTTATGGCCACAGCAGAGTACACAGCGGTAGGTACAAACGGTTGAGTACTTTGATGACAGTCATGTTACGTCTTGAACATTTGCAAAACAGTGCGAACACTGTTTGGAAAGCCGCATTTTTGTCAGTGGACAGCAGGACTTAGTTGATGTAGTATTGCGGTAACTGTCGCACCAACGAGACCGTAAGCGACTAATATGTGGTACTGCCACCTGTCAATACTTAAGGTTACGCAAAAATCGTTCTCTGAGAATCTGCACGTACCTCGGGCGGCAGATGATCGGACCGCTCGGCGACACAGGGAGCCTGAAGTGAACATCCCATCGTATTCGCAAGCTGTGCGATCTCCCCCATCAGCCACGCAAATCAGACTGTGCATATAGGAGGCAACATCCAAGTACACACCATTTTATTGTACCACTTGTTTATTAATCATTCTACCGGGTAACCGTAGTGGTGGCAGTTGCGTCACTATTCCTATATAGGTTTCGTGCATATATTGATGCCCAAGATTTAAGGCTGTTATTTATGTTCACGTCTAAATGTTAAAGAAAATACCAACAGTTCGCATTGGGTGCTTATTCTCATGTGTGCGAAAATGGCTTTCAGCCTGACCTCCAAAGGAAACCCATCCATGTTTGTAGTATCATTGTTCATGAGGTTTAATATGTCTCTACCCAGTTTGTGGTAGTTCATACTTAAGTTTGGACAAAAGCATGCGCATATTTTGTATCCGAACTATCAATGGACACGGATGACGTCGACAACGAGGATACTATTACTGCTTTTGTACGAACAACTTAGTGTAGAGACGCGGCACTGGGGCAAATCAAAAATAACCTCAACAGGACATGAACAAGGTGAGTTTATGACGAACTAATGTTGATTTCAGGTGTTGCGAATCGAAAACAATGTTGATCGGTTCGAATTCCGTGGACTGATCAAGAGGACGGTTGCCCAGGTGCAGGAGAAGGCATTATTCCACGCGAAAGAGAAGTACGATGCGTACGCTCCCATTCGATTTACTAATCCAGGCCAATAAGGCGGCGTATGTCGTATGTTTGTCTGCGTGATGAGTATGCTTGCATTTCAGAAATTAGATGTTGCTTGAGCTCTCTGGTGTGGCTGCGCCTGATGTGAATGTTGACAAGGTGACTACCTGTCTAATACCCTCCACCGCGATTGCTGGAACCAGGAGACAGTTGGTTGTTGCTGGAGGGGACGGGGTGCACCGACCTCGTGACAGCGCTAAGCAAAAAGTGTGGATCCATGCATCCTGTGTGAAACGGGCTATGGTCCAGGCACTGTCTTGTGGATGTCTGGTGTGCGTGATTTCGAAATTAAGCCAGAAAGTTTCTGCTCTGCTTTCTGAAGAAGTGTGGGCCGCCTCCGTTGATGAAACCTGGCTCCCATCCACATGCCTCCCGGTCTTATTCCTTCGGTTTTACACTGGATATGGAGTGTATGGTTGGAGCTGTTGGTGGTGCAGCGAAAGCAATTCATGGTCCCTCTGTTGGCGCAGGCATCCCATGGCTGGGCACAGTGACAGGTAAAACCGGATACGATTGCTGCCAATCCATATATATATATATATATATATATATATATATATATATATATATATATATATATATATATATATATATATATATGGATTGGCAGCAATCGTATCCGGTTTTGCCTGTCACTGTGGCCAGCCACAGGACGCCTGCGCCTACAGAGGGACCATGAATGGCTTGCGCTGCACCACCCACAGCTCCAACCACACACCCCATATCCAGTGTAAACCCGAAGGAATAAGACCGGGAAGCATGTGGATGGGAGCCACGTTTCATCAACGGAGCCGGCCCACACTCTTTCACAGGCAAACACAAGCACGCTGTATTTGGGGAATCAAGTGCACACACAAGGCGGTGGCTGGACCGTAGTCCGCTCCGCTCCACTCTTCGAGCCAAACACGGTCACAAGGACCGTGCACCCCGTCCCCTCCAGCAACGACCAACTGTCTCCTGGAGCCGGTATGGACGAGGTAGTGGGTAATAGACAGGCAGGCACCCGGTCAATATGCACATCAAGCGCAGCCACACCGGGGATATCAAACAACAGCCAATCACTTGAGAAAAAGATAACCACGAAAAAAATCCAGTAGTGTATTAAGAAACGGGGACATAGCTCTTAAATTGGAGCATTTGAAATAAGTTGTTAACAAAGGATCCGAGATAACTTCACGACGTCGAAAGTATATTTTACGGAAATGACACCAATGCGAAAATGTTGTCGAAATTAACTACAATTGGCTTAAGCGAGTTGTGCAGGTTTATAGAAGACCGTACAGGTGGAAATTTATTTGAGAAAGAAAAGCATTAGGACAAAAGTGAAACCCACCACCTGAAATAAATAGGCTTAGCATGCAATCACGCGGTTAGTAAATCGAATGCAGCGTACCTACAAACGCTGCGCCGGTTCTGCCTACGTTCTCTGCAGGACCCGTCGTCGCTTCGGTAGTGGTCCAGAGTGGCCTCGCTCATGGCTCACGAGGCCTGCCTGACTCAGGCACTCGCGACCGCATGTACTACAGCACCATGCGCTCGATGTCGATGGAGTAAAACCAATTGGTGCTTGCCACTTCCGCAATTGCCGCTTCCTCTCTGCATGTATGAGGTTATTCTCCCGCACTTCGGCAACTGCTTTCATGATTAGATGGCACCATGCACGCCGATCAACCGCCTTTGATTCCCATGACATGCAATCAAGATTAGAACGTGAGAGGCTGCCTTTGATTATGTCCTAGTGACGAACTTT